AGTGTGATTGTTGCATTGCAAAGTAAAGGAGGCGGTGAAGGTGACACTCCACGTCGAGTGGGTATGTGTGGTGATGGAGCCAACGACTGTGGTGCTCTCAGGGCTGCCTACATTGGTGTTGCATTGAGTGACTGCGAAGCCAGCATTGCAGCTCCCTTCACATCGCGACAACAGAACATTCGCTGTGTGGCAAACATACTTAAGTCAGTCCGCTAGCACCATTTACTTTCATCTATAATTTTTTGATCAGCACACAATGAAGTGTGCATCTTTGGAAGTTGTACTCACCTCTTCTGTTTTCAGAAACGATATACTCAATAGCAAAATGCCAATCTTCTGTCACATCCACGAAAAGGCCATTGTAGGCAGATGTGGAAGAAATGTCCCATGTTTGTGTTATTCCTTGATCACCTCCCTCCTCCCCTCAATTTTTTGCAAGTACCCACCAAAATAGGTTAAAACTTCAGCTGGAGTGATTGCGTCTCTTTCAGGGAAGGACGATGCTCCCTTTCAACTGCGATCGGATCATTCAAATACATGGTCCTTTACAGTTTCATTCAGTTTTTTACAGTTATCCTCCTTTATAGTGTAAGTCTAACTCCATTCCTTCACATACATCAAAATGCCTCACTTAAATACTCTAAAGGGCGCTAAAATATAACCGTTTTCAGATTGGCAACACATTGACCGATCCTGAGTACCTCATCATCGACCTGTTTATTGTTGCCCCCCTCTCCGTAGCGTGTACGTCCACTTCGTAAACAAAGTCATCAAATGTTTGCGTAAACACTAAAGACAGCAACAATTTTCTATGCCATTTAGACGCTGTAGGACGACCATGGAAGAAATTGGAGGCCAGTACAATTCCACTTCGGTTGATGACCCCTTCAAATCTTGCCTCTGTTTTTATTCAACTCTTTCTAGCTGTGGCGACACAAATCGTAATCTTCATCGGTGTTCAGCATCAGACTTGGTAGGCCGAATAAACGCAGTTAAGATTGGGTGTTTAGGTGGCGTGTCTTTGAACCAACCAAACAAAGTCTAGACGATGCAGGTTCCTACGAAGCCACTAGTCTCTTCTACTTCTCATGTTTCCAATACATCTTCGTGTGTGTGGCGTTGGCTAAGGGTCCACCATTCCGAGACCGGATCTTTAAAAACGGTAAGTTTGCGCAATTTTACTTACGAATTCTTGCCGCAGGAATCTTCTTGCTTAATGTGCTAATCCTTGTGGCGTTCATTACGGGCTTGCTGATCTTCCCAATAAGACTACTAAGTGATTGGGCAAAGGCAAGTTGTAGATTCCCTTTTATCTGCTCAAAATTAAAAAAAAACTTAGGTTGGATGAAACTCCATATTGTAGTTTCTCCCCCTACACGGACCAGGTGATACTGGGTTCAAAAAGAATGCCTTCACCATCGGTATAGTCGCAATGGCCATTCTCCACTTCATGATGGCCGTCGCCTTTGAGACTCTAATTGATGCTGTCGCACAAAATGGCAGTTCCAAGCACTTTTGGAAGAGCTGTTTAACAAGAACAACTTCACCCCGCATACAGATAAACCGATGACTACAACCACCACTCGTGGCAAACTATTTGCACAACCATTCGTGCGGTGACTTTGACGGACAACCTCACCATTTCATGCATTAAAACGAAATATAAATTTGTGTTATTATTAGTTCCCCTCAGCAAGTGTACAGGCCTGAAGGGGCGCTGTTGCCATTTGAATAAAAACTGAACTGTGCGTTGCAAATGAGCAAGACTTTTGATGCTAAAGCATTGTTGCTGAACCCACTGACTTAATGTTATGTGTACAGGCTGAGAATATGTAGAGGCTAGTGGAAAAAATCTAAATCTAAATTGTGATTGTGTAACTGCACTTATGTAAGTGAAAAGTTCATTTGTACAATAGCGCTTGAGAAGTTTCCTTCAAATTAATCTTACATGATAAAGCTTCAACAATTACTGTAGAAAAAGGATGCCACAAACATCAGCGAGAATCCTATCAATCGCAATACCCTTTCTACAATGTTGAAAGCCTCGGTTTATGAAAGGTCTTTCGGCAGCTAAAACCTATAAAAGAAGTCATGTATTTTAGAAGCTTATGTTCTAACAAGAAGGAATCAGGGTAGTAGGTTTCGCGATCCTGCACAGAAGGGCTGGCCTCTCGGCAAAATACCCATCCTTGTGCTGAATCGGGAGAAATACTCACATGTAACGGCAAACAAAACTCCTGAACGTGCACACAAAAGGTACCCCCACTACTTACTAACAAGTGTAGTAACTGCATGTCTTCCCTCTGGTCTTTGGTCCTCAGATTTCAAGAAGATGTTGGTTGCAGAGGCTTTATTAGGGATAGCTATTAGGAAGGATGGAAATGGGATACAGATGAGAAGAGTTGGAGATATCAATCAGCGAAGGGCTCCTAACCAAATTCGCACAGGTGATTCCCGTCCACGATTCGTCCCCACCTCTCACATATCAAAGTCCATTTAAACAAAATATCATATTTTACAACAGGCAGAAAACTCATTGCTTTAATCAAGCCGTAAAATAAAATCCCTAAAAGAAGCAGCGACCGCACCCACTGCCGCCAAATTCTCCACGAAACCAGTATCTCAATAAACGGTTGAGGAGGAAATCTACTCTCGAATTGGACAGAAACGAAGCACCCCAAACTACAACAATACACCAAAGTCATGGTTTTTACAAGCATATCGCTTTTTAGAGGATAGTCACATAAAATCATCAGAGTCATAGCCATCTTCGTTGGAGCGCATGTTCTCGGACGTGAAGATGCGATCGTAGGAGCGCCGCTCGGCCTCTGACTGGCGTTGTCGTTCCACTTCCCGTTCCGCCCTTTCTCGAGCACGTTGAGCAGCACGAGTGCGCTGACGCACGCGTTCATCTCGCGCCTCTCGCTCTGCCCGCAAGTCGGGAGACTCCACGACCGTTTGTGTGCGTTCCAAACGGCGTAGGATCTCTCCCACACGCTTTGCAACCACTATGCGACGCACATTCTTCCCATTGTGGAAACCCACTTGACCCACATCCATGTCTGGGGTCTTCTTCAGGTTCTCCCACATAGTGTACACCACTGTCACGTCATTCTGCTTGCAACCCTGCCCTCAGAAGAGAAATGGATGCAGTCAGACATTTTTGCGATTAATTAATTCGGTATAGAGTCTAAAGTTGAGGCTTCAATTTCGTGGTTCCACTACGAAGTATTTAGTTCATAAGACATGGATAATTGGATGAACGAAACAAGTTGCCGCACCATTAAATGCAGGTTATGACCCCAAAGCCAAGAGGGAACTTTACGCATTTCACCGTATGGAAAGGTGAAACAACCTCAGTTTTGGAGAAGGGCGATTAACATAATATAACTCAGTAAAGTAATGCATTAAACAAGAATGGTGAGCCTATTTAGGGTTTTGTATCATACTTTGAAGCATAGAGATAGTACTCATAGGTTCGCAAGAACCGGAGCGTCGTAACGATTCTTAGTGGCATTAAAAAAGAACAAGGAGCAAGGACAATACATCATGCCGACCTGAATGAATCGCACGACGAGAGCTACTCAAGCGACAAGCAGGGAAATGAAAAGGTTTAGAATAGAAAACTAAGCACATTTGATAAATTAGGACGTAGACTCAACAATTCACTTTAGTAAAGTGGTTATACATTAAAGAGCATTCATCTACCCAAAGTTCTGCGCTGTAATTTCGGTGATGTAACACACCTGCAGGAAGGAAGTAGGTTCACACAATCCTAATCAAGCAGTGACGAGTAGAAGATTGTCTACACCTTTGAAATATGCCTTCTCAGTTCACTTACCAGAATGCTATTTTGTTTGCAAAGTTGAGCGCAATCCTGAATGACTGTTTCGGGAATATCATCCCACGTCTCTCCTTCTCTGAGACGAAGATATACATGAGCAGACGACATTTTATCGACGTGGAACCACACATCTTCTGGCCAACCCCATCGGATTAATTGGTCATTTTCGTGCTTATCTGCACCCATATATATGAGATAAGGGGGAGAAACAAGTTCGCACATGTAATAAAGCACCATTTCAAACCACTAGAGCGGCTGCTAAGTGGTGTACACTTCCCATTGGCTTGTTATGGCAATGGAATCATCACCATTTTTGAAAGATGAAAGCTCCCAATAAATATTCAATACTTTATTTAAGGAATACAAAACAACCATCAAAGTTGATTTTTTAATATTTTTATTGAATTTTAGCAACAGTTAACCAAGACAATGTCTTATGACTTCATGCGGCTGCGTACAAAGCACATTTAATGCTTTTTGCCTGGGGAAGTTTAAAAAGAGTACGCAGAATGAGTAAACATGCTTGAAGACTTCCACATCTAACCACGTTTAATAGCCAATGTCGGCGTCATATAAGCAAGAAAATGCGCCAAAATACTGCACAATCCGTGCTTTAGCCGAGGCGCCCTCTAATCCTCATCAAAGTGCAGATCCTCTCCCTCATGTTCGTGTTTGTCTATCTGATTCCACAGAGTTTTGACCCCACCCATCGTTTTGGCCGTTATTGAAACTACACTCACACCACATTATTACATAAACTTGGTAATATTACAACTCACAAATATGCAATGAGCAGACGCCTCCTAACGATCCACGAATGCCGCCAACCAACCTCCCACCTCATCTCGCGTCTTTACAGAATTGAGACACCACAGAGAACAGAGAGTATGCTTAAGTATCCCACTATCGCTGACTTTACGATGAACAACCCTCGCATTACACGGAAATGGATCAAATTCCTCTGACTGTCAGAAAGTTAGGCATCAAAATCAGTGGTTCTTATCGCTACGTCCGCTAACTAGTGAAGGAAATTAAACTATGAACGGGCAACGATTTTGCCCCGAATAGCGATGCTTTAATTGCTACAATACATTACGCGAACTCCTTCTACGACTACGAGGACCATTCATTTCCTGAAAGTTCATGTATGAAAGAATTTTCACAGCCAAATGCCACTAGTTCAGCTCCACACTGCTGGAATGCACTACTGCAAGTGCTAGCATATGTTTCTGTGAAAGGCAACACATTGATATCATACCAACTTTCAAACAGAGGTGCAAAGAGACATGTTTTCCAAAATAGTACTGAAAAAAATATGCATAGGTGGTCAAGTGTGAGTGCAGAATCGAAAAATACAAAAATCAAATTATCTGGCTTCGGTAAGAGTAATAATAAAATAACGGTAATGCAGAGACCAATTGGTGCCTCTTCGAGGGAATAATCAAACACCACACAAAGAGGGAGTGAGGAGAGGAAGCGCAGTGATGTTCTAAAAGGCACCAAAAGAGCGGGTGAACTTTCCTGCCCTACCTCATCTTTTCTATAATTACCTACACAATCGTGAGGATGATCGTTCGTACAGCCCATCACAAACACTAGTCAGTTCACCCTTTTCAGTCTAATTAACACATTGAATTCGCATAATTACCCATTCTTCGCTCCGTCAAACCGTGGTTTTCATATTCACCACTGCGAGGACATGCAAAATCAAGGTCTAGGCAAGATTTCCCAATAAAATAAAATGCGTGAGTGATAAATTTTTTGAAACAAGCACTGGTGTACAAATACACCAGCGAAGAATTAGAACTTGGGGTGACATCCCTCCTTACGTGGCTCCATAGAATCATCGAAAGTATCGAATGAGCGATTGAGGCTTCCAGAGCCTAGAATTAAAGCATCTACTCATGATGAGGTCAGCATACTCATTCAAGTATACTTTTCCTTTTTTCAGCATGCAAAATGACCACAACACCTCTAAACCCGTCCAATTTACACACTGATGAAACCATAGGGAGTGTGACCAAAGAAGACTCTCGAAGAAGGCAGAGCAAATAAAAGTAAGCCCACGCATTCAAAAAAATATAGAAGCTGTAAACTAAGCACAGTGGTTTCGGCGAGCAACCTTACCAAAGCAAAGCCGATTCATACCAGTAATAAAGGAGTAAAAAATAATGAAGAACACAGGGGTCCATGCAAGCGGAAAGTAGTGGTGGCATTAATCACACCGTCAGGGTGATTAAATGCACACATCGCCTTTAAATCATTGTGCGGTGCCACAAAAATGAAGGATTAACAAATTTAAACTAATTATCGCGTTTTATTTTTGCTTGTAATAAAGTCAAACTTTGTTGAAGTATTTTGGAGTGAAAAAGGGAATATAGTGGGATTTCGGTAAAAGCGCTTTGTGGCAGAGAAAAAAAAACACCAGTGAGGTGAGGGCGCAATCAAACGCTATACCGCATGTCCAGCATATGTTAAAAGACATCTACAGCCTAAAACCAATAATAATCAATTAGACAAAAGAAAGGGGGACCTACACATTCGAGTTTATTTCATTCGCATTGGGGAAAAAAACGACAGACTACAAGTGACCAGCTAATGAAAGTAAGAATGCAGTACTCCGGATGGGGATTGCAAGTTGCGTCGCATGAGACTTTACAAGCCTACGAAACCACAAGTGGATAAAGTCTTAGATCAGACGAATGAAGTGCAATGAAAAGGTTGCGTTAACTTTACGATTCATTAGGCATAACCAGTTACGAACGCACCAAATTATCGTCGGTTCTGGAATAACTCTCTGGGGCTCGATTCGCCGTGATGTTTGCCTTCTAAAAGGACATAAACTTCCGTTACTTAACGAAAGAGTAGATTTTAATAGATATGATTTATCGGATAGGTACCTTAAAATAAAAGCTGACCGAGAACACGTTTGCGTAGCAAAGGACACAAGTGAAGCGAGCCCAGCCAGGAGGACGAAGTAAAACCCACCAGAAAAAGAAATTGAAAAAGCATCAATCTTTTTTGTAGCATTTTTGATGTAATGTCGAGTTTCTTCAATAGAAGTTAAATTAGGAACACGTAATTGTTGCTTGATTAGCTGGAATTGGAATTGAGTGATCGAAGATGCTGCCCAGTACATCAACCCAAGGCAAACACAATTAATAAAAACTGTAAAAGACAGTGTGTGAACGAACAAACACATACCACAACAAACATCCAGTAAACCTCTTCGACGAAATCTCTTTACAAATCCGAGATTAATATTAAGATTAGCAAATAACTGAAAGAGTGAGCACAAAAATGAAAGGATAATCAGTCCAAGGCAGCAGTAAAGAATAATAACGGAGTCAGGTGTCACACATTCATGAAGGGTACCTAAATAAAGGACTAGTTGTATTAAAAACATAACGTACCGACGAATTTCAGCTTTTCCTTGTCTTTAGAGGAACTGTTGAATGAAAAAATATCTTGAAAACCAATTGAATTCAATTTGCAAGGTGCGTCCTTCATCGTAAAAGTTGCTCTTAACACGGTAGCTCCGCAGAGAAGGAGAGCCGCCAGAAGGTTAGACGAAAAAGAAAGACCTCCAATGCGACGTCGAAATAGTGGATGCCAGTGGGAATTTCCATGATCTATAAACACTAAAACTATTCACCAAGAGCAGCAATACCATTCCGAGATGGCATAATCATGCAAAAGGACCTCCGACGAGCAATAGACGCGCAGGCCGAACAAATGAGAAACACAGGCACAAATTCCACTTATCGGCCAGACGATTGTTTGATGCAAAATATCAAGCCTAGATACAAGCTTCATATTAGCGAACAGAAGCCACAAACATTTGCGTTTAAATTAAAAATTTTAAAAGTCAAGATCAATAAAAAAATTTAAAAGGAGGACACTAAAACGAGAATCGCATCACATCTCAAGTAAACATTGACTTATCGAAACCGTGAAATGCATTACTATGCTTTGACTAAATCTCTACGTACAAGTGAGTTGTTGTTTGCCTCCTGAAAACTCATTATTACACTCAGGATGGCATGAGTTGCATCTATGGCCGCCTACATATCTGACAGTTACTTTGGTATTTGTCTTGCTCGTATGAACATGAGCTGGCTTTCGAGCCAAGCCATAGCACGATCCTTTCTAATTCTACTAAAAATCACGCTTTTGTGGCTTTTGACTTTCTAGGGGCTACAACGCCACCCATACTTGTTAGCGTATTATCCTGAGGCTTCTCGCTAGGTAGTAGAGCACATTAATCAGGTCTTAATACATGCATTTGAAAAGAACGGGAAAGAGATTAAGCTTTGATTTAGTCCGAAGGCCAGCCCACGCGCACCCTTGCAAGATAAGTATCAAAGTGAGCGCCATTCATGTAGATGATCAAATAAACAAGGTTTTACAGCTACCACCTTGTATATGTATATAGGTGATACAATAAAGGGTTCATTTTAGCTTAGCTGTAGAACTGTTTGTAGCATTTGCGTGTCAACTGCATGCATGAGGAGCAATTTTAAAGGGGAACATAAAACGTAGGACGTGTTTTTTGCGTCTCGGGGCTTCCTATAGGGCAGAAGAAGGCATAAGTGAGGTTGAATACATGTATTTCGAAGACGACAGGGCAAATGGAGCCTGATCGTAGCCCGAAGACCAGCCCACATGTAAAGGGACCAGACAAATTCCAAAGTGACTGCTGACGTCAGGTAGTCACATAAGCTAAGCATTACAGTGTTAAGATAGTGTTTACGGGAAGCGTGATTGTATTCAAGAATCAAGGACACAGTATTTAAGTATCTTATCAGCTGCACATAAATACCAAGCGAACATAGATACACTAAGTAGCGCAAATGACGATATAGGCAAATTTAGCACCATCAAAATACACTAGATGTTTAAATATGTGCTAGGACCGACGTATTCATGTAGAAAATGTAAATGCAAGATGCGCAGTTCTTTTATTAATCCTTTTTTTAATGGCCTTGACCATGTGTTCGACATTCAGAGGCTTCCTGTTCGGTAGCATGATCCATTGAGCATAGCTGAATGCCTACGCTAGAAAAGAAAAGGTAGAAACAAAAAAATGCATAGCTAAAACAAGTACGCCGCCTGAATACAACTAACTGCATGTGTAAAACACAGTAGTTTGTGATACTTCTTTTAAGTGACCGCATGAGGCCTAACGGCTACTTTGGTATTCGCCTGGTTATGTTAATCGTACTCTGGTCTTCGGA